CCTTAATATTCCAAACTTTATTATTTCCACATTTACTTTTTATGGGCAACAGAGTATGAGGCATGGATTTATGGAAAGTAAAATAGATTTATCTCCATGTTTATTTAAACCTGTAATCAGAGTTGTTTAAGCTGTAAGGTAAGGAGTCAGAGATGTCTGGCAAAGGGACAGAGAGTGTTGACTAGAAATATGGCTCTATTGTCCTTGCCTGTCTGTGTTAACCTGTAGAAGGAAGCTCTCATCTACTAACTAGAAAGAAACACAGCAACAGGGGCTTCCTGCTCTACCCCGTCTCCTCCTGCTCATCCTTGACCATGGGAAGCACAGTAATCCATCTAATTTGGGAGTTTGCAATATATTACATTTAATTAGTTTGACTTTTTCCTCACCTCTTTTCAGAGTGGCATAGTCTTAAGAATGTGTGTTGTCTCCTTCCCGGTGAAGTAATGTTACTACAATAGATTTACTGATTATAGTTGTAAGGGCATGCCATTCTGGGCGGAAACCCTCATTTTAGCAAAAGGTATGTAGAAATATTATTTGTTAACTGATTTCACCCCTCATAAAGCAGATGTTTTTACTTCTGTTTTCATCTAAATAGAGTGTGGTGTTATAGTTGGCTAAGAACTCAGTAGAAAGGAGATCATCATAATAATGGCAGTGACTGTGTCCTTTGTAAATTCATCATTTAGATAGAACTATAGCCTGACAGCAGATAAACAGCAGCTGAAGGTCCCTGATTGAACTAATTTTTTTTTGAGATTTCCATGGTGTGTGTGTGTGTGTGTGTGTGTGTCTGTCTGTCTGTCTGTCTGTGTGTCTGTGTGTTTAAGTATGCCACATGTGCAGTGGTGCTCATGGGGATCAGAAGAGGGCACTTCATACCAGGATCTTGCAGAAAAGAATGTACTTTTAACTCCTGAGCCACCACTTTAGTACTACAGGACTATTTTTTAGTTTTGAGTTTGACCAGAAATGAATTCAAGCTAAAGGATGCAAAATTCTTCTGCTTTCTTTCCTTCCTTCCCTCCATCCTTCCCTTCTTCTTCTTCTCCACTCCCTGCTTACTTTCTTTCTACTCTTTTGTCTTATAGTCTGGGATCATGAATGTTTTGTTAATTTCTGAATCAGGTTTAAAAATAAAGTTGAGATAATGATTAAGGTTCCATTCTGTTCTAATAGAAACAAGAACTTAAAATATTTCTGAGTCTCTGATGAGGTTTAATACTTCTCATGTCCATAATAATGTGTCTTAAATTCTTTCAAAGGCAAGCGTGACTCCTTTCATATCATTCTTTAAATCAAGTAGGAAAAAACATCTACCTGCTATCAATTCCCTAACAGTGCAATGCTGGGTCACAGGAGTATTAGTGATTCAAAGTCAAATGATATTTTTGCTTTTGAAAATTAGTTCTGGTGGTGCAATGTCAAGAAAATCTTCTGATGTTCAAATAGATGTGAAGAGAAGTAGGTAAATCTCTCAGGTCTCTGCTTTCATACAGTTGTCTCTATGACAGTGAGAAGGAATGGAAGAGGAGAATGTTGGAGAATAGAAGCATTTATAATAAACTAAAGATACATTTTTGAATACTAGAAACATCACATTGAAAATCAGTTAAATATTGAGGTCACTTTTAGAAGATGAATTAATTGGGAGGATTCATAATATATCAACATACAAATGATTTTAAAGACCATGAAATTGATTAGTTTCATGTAGGAAGACACTGTAGAAAATGAGGTGAATTGATAAATCTGTATTATAAGCATATATACGTGTGTGTGTATAATGAAGTATATACAAGTCATTATTTTAGATTTTCATCAACTCAACATAATTAAACTAGAACAAACAGTCTCATCATTCATGACTTTACATAGTCTCAGGTTAGTTTTAATCATGCATGACATTTTTCATGAGGCTTGAAAGATAGAAATGGAGTAGTGTCTGTGCTGTTCTTAAATAAAGTTGATGAGGGACATGAGCCACTTTACAGAGTAGCTTGTTGCTACTCACCTGGTTGATTCAGGGAACCATGAGACTCACAGCTTTTTCATATACAACAAACTTCTTTTTCTGGAGTTTCTATTTCTATGCAAGATTCATAGTTAGCTTCTGGGTGTAGACAAATTCCTAAATTGTCTTATTAAATAAAAACACAAAGCCAGATACATGGGTAAAAGCCTGGGAGAGATCAGGGAAATAGGGAAAACCACCAGCCAACCTTACCTCACCAACTCTGCAGCTTCCAAATGCAAGTTATTTCCTGTCTACCCATGTCTATATGTCTTGCTGTTCTGCTATCTGATTTGCTCTCTCTGTTCAGCTATATCACCTCCTCTTTCTACCCAGCTCTGTCACTTCCTGTCTGTCTGTACAGACCTCCATGGTTAACTAGTTTTGGAATCTAAGGCATGTGCCACCACACCTGGCCTTTCCAGTGTGGCCTTGAACACACCTTTCCAGTGTGGCCTTGAACACACAGAGATCCTGCCTGCTAAGTGACAGGATTAAGGGCATGTGTTACCATTGCCTGACTTCTGTGGTGTGGCTGGCTTTTTCTTCTGATCTCTAGGCAAGCTTTATTTATTAAAGCACAAATAAAATATCACCACATATGGGTGAGGTCAGTGCTCCTTTTATTGTTCTAGAAGTCCTGACCAATAATTAACACCTTAAAAGCATTTGGGAACCCATGTATCTAATGATCTGTTTCTAATATTTTGGTGTTAGGATTAAACAGGTTGAGCTACAGTCATAAAAAGACATTTAAATTCTTACCTATAAATTTTCATGTAGCCTAATCTCCAGTATATTTAGTACTGTAGATTGATCTATCTATCTATCTATCTATCTATCTATCTATCTATCTATCTATCTACCTATCTATTTATCTATCTTTATTTATTTATTTGTTTTTACCGGATATATATATCTCCCATCCCTAAACTGGTGATAATTGTTTTGCATTTCATAAGTATTTTCTGTACACCGTTCCCATTTCATGTGCTGTGGGAGGTGCTGTGCCTATAGACAGAAAGCAGAAAGCATCGTGGTGAGTTTCTAAAGGAAAAATAGGGAACATGTTGCTGGCAGAGGCTGAGTTTTAGAAGTCTTAGAATCTGAGGATAAAGCAACACTGGATATATAACTGAAAGACACAGAACACCCATCCACATCTGGTATGAGAAGGAAGATGACCTCTCACTTCTGTCTCTATCTTGAACTTGAATTCCATAGTCTTTAGACTGACATGACAATTCTAAGAAAACAACATTCCAATTTTTCATTATTTGGAACCTAAAAATCAGAGTTATCCATGGATGGATAGGTCATATTCCCTAGAGGAGAACCTACTACTATTATTCTACCAAATGGACATAGTATTAAACTGCTCCCTAACTACTTATGTTTATACCCACAGAAAGTGCAATACTCAATCCTCATCAAAGACGTATTTTTTTGCAGTGAGTTCAATGTTAGCTTCTCTTTCAGTATCTACCAATGAACAAAGTTAGAAGCTGGAAAATACTGAAAGCTTATTACTATTCAGTGCCACTTCTTGACTCCAAGCTGGTTCTTGCAGGTTGCATCTTGTTTAAGTTTTCAAACCTACTTTCATTCACATCATTCTCACTCTGTAATCTTCCACTCTAGATGGACAGAAGCTTCAGCTTCACATAGAGTATTTGGCTAAGACCCAAGTGGTTCTGCCTGTCTGGCCAGTTTCAGAATAAGACAGACATGAGCACCTTGGCTTTTGTTTTGGTTTGCCTTGACACATATGTATAAGTTAGTGATCATTCTCTAAAGGAAGACAAGTATTATTTTGATAAACTACACAAGATATCATAGTACACTGTCACAGTTGTAAACTGTTACTTAATCTTCTTAAGTATCATCTTTTTTTCCATGTTCTGTGATACTAGCACTAAAATTCTTCAAACTCTCATATTTTCTTGGTCAACCAGAACTGAGGTAGGTTTTTCCAGAACAGTCAAAGTAGAAATTAGAAAGCTTAAGGATAAGGGAGGCACTTACCATTCTGTGTTGTTTCTAATGTTGCTTTTCTGTATGTACTGGAGTAGCAATGTTGCTTTACTCCAAAAGCAGTGGTTAATTTCACATCCTGGCTTATTGACAGTCCCTCATCATACCTCTAGAATAACTCTGGGAAACTGATAAAGCCAGGGGTGGAAGAGTCTACCTCACAGGATCCCATGTCAAAATCATGCATTTCCTCATTGATCTGACACAGGCCTTACCCTCTCTAAACTTTTATATTTCAGTAACCCTGACTACTTGTTTTTATTTACTTCAGAATTAGGGTTGGTAGATACCTTCTGAAAGTACTTTTGTTCTTTGGCAATATCCTTTTTGATTAATTTATTTTCCACAACACAAAGCCACGTTGAATAGTCTCTAAATTAAGTTCCATCTGTTTAGCTACAGGATATGCTCTGCTTGGATCCTGATTGATAAACATATGGAAACATATAGATATGTTGGAGGATATTCCAGTAGTTAGAAGGATGTTATCATTTCTGGGATTAAAGTATCTGAAGTAGAAAATGTTTATACAAGATTTGATGAGGTTTCTAGTATAGACAAAGATGACACAAATGGGTATTTTTCTTATGCTTTTTCAAGTTCCTATTGTTGTTGACTGACCCTTATTCTTATGAGAGTCAATCATAGATTTGTCAACTAAAAGCACACTAGGAGTAGAGAATTATACAGTCCTAGAAAGCTAGATTGTCGTGTGCAAAAGCTTACAGAACACAGACACAACCAAACATTATTTAGGTATCTCAGGGGTTCAAATAGCATATAACAGACAATTCTGAAGAATACTTGTAGGTTATGAAAATGTATTGTGCTTTTGTCTGAGAAGGAGAATTAACAAAGTGATGAGGTGTTTGCATTCCTGTACAATAATTTTAGAGCTAATTTCTGGCATGTGACTTTAACCCCAGCACTCAAGAAACAGAGGCACATGGATGTCTGTAGTCAGATTTTATTTTGGGCTGCCAGATCACAAATAATGACCAGGGACTTCTTGTTAATTATGAAAGCTTGGCCTGTAACTTAGGCTTGTCTCAACTAATTCTTATACCTTAAATTAACCCATTTATATTAATCTACATTCTTCCATATGCCTTGTGGCTGTTACCTCTCCTCCTGCACATCCTACTTGCTCTGTGTCTCCTGACATCTTGGACTTTCTTCTTCCCAGAGTCCTCTCTGTCCCCAGAAGTTCTGCCTAAACTCTTCCTGCCTAGCTATTGGCATTTCAGCTCTTTATTAAATCAGTCAGAAGACACCTTGGCAAAGACACATTGTACAGTGTAAACAAACATTCCACAGCAGATATCAGTGAGTTGGAGGCCAGTCTGGTCTACAGAGTGAGTTCCAGGACAGCCAGGGATACATAGTGAGAACCTGTCTCAAAAAAACAAAACAAAACAAAGAAACAATAGCAGCAATCTAGATCTTGGCTGAGCAATGGTAAGACTATGAGAAATAAACCAGATGTGACCTCAGCAGTAAGCAGGAATAGGAAGAGAGGCCATGTAAAAATAGAATGGGCAGATTGGGTCATTAGTTTGACATACAGGTTGCAAGAGAATGAAGTTACAAATTAAGGGATCTATCTTATAAAGGTGAATGTGGAGATAGAATGGTTGATCTAGAAAAAGGAATGGCACTGCACCAAGATTCTTCAGCTCAGTTTATAGCTCAATACATTTAGGTATCATGTTGAACGTCTCTGTTTAAGTCAAACATGTACCTGCCTTGTTTATTCTGTACCTCCATTACATTAACTAATATACAAGCTCTGCTTTTGAAGGGAAGATTTGGAACCATGAATAAAAGGGTAGATTATGTATTCTGGACACATAATAATTCCCAAGAAAAATCAAGGGGAAAATAAATATATTTGACAAAATAGTTTTCAAAAAATCCTCAAGTAAAGTAACTTAATTTAGTAATTTAAGAGTACTTATAAAGTCTACTAAAATCTCAATATGTAATAAACCATATAACGCTTTCTACATTAATACCCTTCTCTAATTAAGAGTTAGTGAGAGTTTCCTCTCTGACAGGCACTGTGTTAAGCACTTTGAATAGCATAACAAAGAAAAGGAAGATTCCACTGGGCCGTGGTGACCAAACCTTTAATCCCAGTAGGAGGGAGACAGAGGCAGGCAGATCTCTGTGAGGCCAGCCTGGGCTACAGAGTGAGTTCCAGGAAAGGTGCCAAAGCTACACAGAGAAACCCTGTCTCGAACACCGCTCCCCCCCCAGGAAAAAGAAAAGAAAAGAAAAGGAAGATTCCTTACGGAGATTTGTTCTTGTGAGAAGATATGGACAAATAAATGGCAAAGACAAGCTATGTTGGAGATCCTGAGGAAGTCAAGCAAAGCAAATGTAAAGAGGTAAGAATGCAAAGACCACCAGAGCCTTATTCAGCAGTGCTCAGGAGATGCTTTTGATAGGTGCAGGTTAAACATAGACTGCAATTTTAGAAGGACCATTTAGTATTTAGAATTGTTAGAGGGCATGTCAGAAGAGAGACCACAACTCTGGTAAGGTTTAAGGCACGGTGGTGACCAGGGGTGACTCCTACAACTTCAAATCATGCCTATGTAGGACTTGTATCCCCCAAGAGGCACAAGCTAACATTTAATGCACAGACAATGAAGAGTATACATAAAGATGCTTAAACATTTTATAAGGCAAATAATAAACACTGATTTTATTTTTGGCTGAGTGAAATGAAAATAATGATGCAACCTTCTCAAGACTGGGCAAAGTAGAGATAGGTAGGCTTTGTCACGTCCTGCTGCTGAAGAACACAAATTTGCAGTGTTTTGCACAATATTTTGTGTTCAAAAATTACCCTTATGTAGACAAATTTCTAAATGGTCTTATTAAATAAGAAACACAGAGTCAAATATAAGGGTGAAAGTCTTAGAGATCAGGGAAATAATGAGAGCCGCCAGCTAGCCTTAACTCACCACACCACCGTAGCTTCCCAAGAAAGCTACTTCCTGTCTACCCAGGCTTTTATTGCCTTGCTGTTCTGCCCTCTCATTGGCTCTTAGCCCAGCTACCTCACTTTCTTGTCACTGCCTGTCTGTACAGACCTCCACGTATCTATGGTTGGTACTAGGATTAAAGATGTGTGTCACCACACTTGGCTGCTCCCTAGTGTGTCCTTGAACACACAGAGACTCTACCTGCCCTGTGATCGGATTAAGGGCATTTGCTACCACTGCCTGACTTTTGTGTTTACCTTAAAATGGCTTGCTATTCCCTTTGATCTCCAGACAAACTTATTAACATACAAAATATCACTACATTTCAGCACAAATAAAATATCATCACACTCTTAATGTTTTTAATCCTGTAACTTCTGTTTTGAAAGATTTTTCCCAATAATACTAACAGACAGAAATTTAAATGTATGTGTCTGAGGACATTTTTATTACAAAAATACTTAAGACAACAAATGTATAAATAACTTAAATTTGTAAAGTATATCCTAACAAGCCAATTATAAGGAATGCTAGGCAGCCACTAGACATGGAAACCATATATGACAGAGGTAAGCAGTGGAGGTCATTCTCCCTTATCTTGTTCCTATTGGACTATGACTCTTAACTTGCCTGTGTGCAGGAGACACTTTGTTTCTCAACTCTGTTGTAGATAAGATCTGCTTTGTGAGTAAATTACAATTATTAGTTTATAAGTGTAAGTGGTTCCTACACTACCAAAAGGTCATGTCCAGGTGCTCTTGATTTGTTCCTCTTTCACTCATTTATAGAGATTGTGAATATGAAATTTAATAAAATAAAATGAAAGATGTAACGATTTGGAAAGAAAAAAACTAATCTATAGTTTTCATGCAAAAGTTTACATATCAGTCCCCCCTCAAGAAAATTCTGGGGAAAATTATCTAGATTTATGATATTCTATATAACATCTAATTGAAAGGTTTTATGCATTTAAAAATTCAGGAGTCTTTGTATTTTCTTTTCTTCTCACCCACAGCAATACTTGGTTGGGAACTGTACAGGAAAACAAAAACAAACAAAACTTATTTTAATATTATGACAAAATAAAATAGCCTAGGGATATTCTTTTTTAAATATTTGAAAAGTTTATGAAAATATAAATATAAAACTCCTCATAAAAATTAAAAGGGAAATGTAATAATGAATTAGTAAAGCACAGTCCTAGACAGTCAAATCCCACTGAAACCTCTTAACAACTGTGAAAACCCTGTAAGATTGTTATGAAAATTAGCTGAAAGAGTATACATAATCAGAATAACTAAGGAGAGTATGGACAACATATGACTAATGAAGATATTCATTCACAGCATGGCATGACATTCACCATTGAGAGGCAAGTCAGTACATACAATGGTAACAGCTTATACAGTGAGCAATTGTCCAAATACCCAGCAGTATGGCAGAGGCCTGCCATGCACACATCAACCTGTGGAGTAAGGTGTTAGCATAAACATTTCACACATGGAACTGGTGTCAAAGAAGCCAAGTGATTAATAAATAGTGTGATAGTAAATTCCACAACTTTTCATTACTATTAGATGTATGTAAGTATTAAAGGAGTCCTTTTCTATCTATTGGTAGCTATTCTGATATATATATATTATATATATATATATATATATATATATATATATATATATATATATAATATATATATATATATGGCTGTAGCTTTTTCCAGTCCTGCCCAAACCTGCAGTCCCATAGCTGCTTATAAAATAACCACTCAGAAGCTTATAGTAATTATAGCTGCTTGGCCATTAGCTCAGGCTTATTACTAACTAGCCCTTACACTTAAATTAATCCATAATTCTTATTTATGTTTAGCCACATGGATTGGTACCATTTCTCAGTTCTGCCTTGTCATCTTGCTTCCTCTGTGTCTGGCTGGTGACTCTCCTGACTCAGCCCTCCTCTTCCCAGAATTCTCCTAGTCTGCTTGCTTCACCTATTTTTTTTTTAATTTTTAAACTATGGTCATAGCAAGCTTCTTGCTAAGCTAGCTCTTATATCTTAAATTAACCCATTTCTATAAATCTATACTTTACCATGTGACTTGTGGCTTACCAGTATCTTTACATCTTGCTTCTCCTGGGGGCAGCTAGCAGCGTCTCTCTCTGCTCTGTCTTTTTTCTTCATCTCTCTCCAGTTAGAATGTCCTGCCTAACCTTATTCTGCCTCACCATTGACCAAACAGCTTTATTTACCAACCAATCAGAGCAACACATAATCACAGCATATAGAATGTTATCACCCATCATTTCCCCTTTTCTTTCTATTATATATAATTTTATTATGTTAAAGTTAAAACCTTCCCTTTTGTTTAAACAAAAAAAGGGAAATGCTGTGGGATAATCCTCTTGTACACTGGTTTAATAAAATGCTGATTGGCCAGCAGCCAGTCAGGAAGTATAGGTGGGCCAAGCAGTCTAGGAGAATTCTGGGAAAAAGAAGGGCTGAGCCAGGAGTCACCAGCCAGACACAGAGGAAGCAAGATGTGAAGGCAGAACTGAAAAAAGGTACCAAGCCACATGGCTAAACATAGATAAGAATTATGGGTTAATTTAAGTGTAAGAGCTCATAAGTAATAAGCCTGAGCTAATGGCCATACAGTTCATAATTAATATAAGCCTTTGTGTGTTTATTTGGGTCTGAGTGACTGAGGACTGGGCGGGACACAGGAAAATTTCCAAATATATATAGTTTCTCATTATTTTGTGGTATTAATTTATAAAGGTCCATAGAAATGTATTTAAATACATTGATTTGATTTTAGACATATATTTTGAGAAAATTAACTTGTTGTTAACAAAAATAAAGACATAAAAATAGCACTATTAAAATGTGTGTATGAATTAAATAATAAATACAACTTTGAAAGTAAGGTCAGAGGCAATGATGGGTTGTGTATGCTTGACAGGTGTTATGAAAACCAAAACTGTAGGAAACATTGCATTGCCATTATTGAAGGTAATAACCAAAAAAAAACAGACAAAATTGAAAAAAAGTGAATTTTTTTACAAATTTTTTTTTCAAAAACTTTGGCAGTGATTGTTTCCTTATTATTTTTAAAAATCTGAATCATATTTGTTTTGTAATGAGCATAATTTACTCTTATAAAATGAGAAAAGTGCATAGTCTCTCTGGATTTATTTGTTCACTGGTCTACTTGTGATTTTATTTTTAGTCCTATTGTTTGTGGAAAGTCAATAGACTGAGAGCTTGGTTCTGAACTTCTTGATGGAAAATTAGTTTCTTAAAGAACAATTTTTTTGTTATAATCCTTTCACTTCTCTTGAAAAGGTAGAGAGGAGCATGCATAGACCTTCACTGTACTGGATTTAAGATATAACTAGAATGCTCTCTGAAGTTAGAAACATATTGTCAGAAAGGATATGGTCTGTATAGATCTCTCAGAGGGAGGGTGGTCAGTAGACATTGGCTATCTCAGCATAGTTCTGACAATGCCTTCTCAGTCTACATGGTGACTCAGACTGTCCTCATCTCAAACACAAAGTATGTAGCTCAACAAACTGGCTTCTTCAGAAGAGATAATTCATGTACATAGCTTCCAATTACAGAATGCTGTATTACAGAATGCTGAGTTCCAGAGAGAAAATGTTAACTTTCAATAGGTTTCCATTTGGATACCAGAAGACTAATAATTTCTCACTCAATAACTATACTGTAGCTGAAAACAAATAAAATCAAGGTTTATTTTCTCATGAAGGAAATGCTTCAGTAAGAGGAAGCTGGTGTGTCACCACCACTTTTCATCCTAGTCAGATGTTCTGTACCAACTGGAGAAGGGTTCGCAAATTCACTCCCCACATACATGTACCTGGTATGTGTCACCTGTGTTAATTCCCAGGGAAGAGGTAGAAATACCGTGTCATGGATACTCTCTCAATGGTGGGCATCTGGGTGAGTTCACCTGGGACCTCAAATGAATGTTGAACCTGTAGTGATGAAGAAAGTCCTTAGAGATCTCCTGAGAAGAGAATTTCTTTTGCTGCTATTCACAGAAAAAGGGAAAAAAGATTCTCATCATGTACATTAAGGTTGTGGCTGGGTAGTGTATCAGAAGGAATATTTAGCTTTTTCTTGGACACTGTGCAGACAGAATGACTTAGTACTTTATGAAAAGTGATGAATCAAGATTGTACAAATAGGAAGGCTTTGGAAAAACAAATACTGTTTGCATGTGGTATTCTAGAAAATTATTCATTAGATAAATTGGGATGTAATGAGTAGCATCAAGATAAACCCATTATGGCTCCTGGCATGTGACTTTTCACAGTTGTCGAGGACATAAAAGACTAAAACAAACTCCTACTTTTCGAAAAATTTCCTCCAAATGATAACACCAACAATACTTCTTGAAGCAGTCGATGAGTTTGGAGATGAAGAGAGAGCCATTCTTGCCCACCTTCCAAGAAATATTATCTGCAAAGAGAAGCATGGGAATGGTGAAAGATGACGTACTCCTGACACCACAGTTTAGGAACCAAGTATTCTTGGGTGATTCACAGAAGACAGGAGGCCACAACTGAGTAAAGCTGAGACCCTGGGGTCCCATAAAAGATGCATAGGAAACCTGTTTAGACCCACGTCATAAAACCACATGGGCTTTTTAATAGGCAAGGCCAATTGAACAGCCTCCAGCCAGCAAGTCCTGGAAAAGAGCAAATTCCTTCCAGTACCAACTTTATGATAGAGAAAAACTCCCGTCTCAAACCAGTCCTTGCTTCCCTGCCTCTTCACCCCATTTGCCTCCTGCTGAAACTTTTTGCACTTATCTTCCCTTTGAGCAATCTCCATATGAAGACCTTCGCTCTGCCACTTGACCTAAGCTTCTGTTCTTAAAACAGAGAGGCAGTCCTCCAACCACCACTCAGCCAGCACTGCTACCTTGTTGCCCTGTTGTGCTCAAACCTTGTCTTCAGCAGCTCCGTTCCACGTGATTCTGCTCACTCCTGTCTGGCTTCTTCCTCCTAGATCTACCAATACTACAAAACAGAACCGCACCCTGTCACCCAGGATTTCCAAATCCCTAAATCAACCTCACTCATTAGGCCTCACCTGCACCTGGTCCATCATTCCCATTAGAAATTGTCATCTCTGACATAGCCTTACTAATAGCTCTGGAATCCATTCTCCCGGTCTTCCTCTGGCCTGATGAGTCAAGCACACTGGCTAGCTTTTCCATCTTTAGTCTTCATTTCCAAGAGGCTGCTCATCCTCACTCCAGGAATTTTCTAACTATTTTCAATTTCCTGTTGTTTTTATTCATCTTTAGGATTGTGAAAAAATTTTTGGCAACTTGAAATCCCCAAACTTGATCTTTCTGGCAGATGTCTTCTGTGAAATATACAAGGGTGTAACTCTTCATTGATAGTTTCACCCCAAGCTATCCCATGACCATCTCAAACTTGCAGAATTAATTTTTTCCCCTTTAAAGCAGTCATATTGGTCAACATTTTAATTTGTAAAATATCAGAACATATTTGTAGTATATCCTTCCATTATAGGTTTCTGCTAAATATAATTAATTCAGCATGCTATGAAACAGGATAGTACACTATTTATGGAAAATAAAATATCCTTTTAAATAAATTTACCGTAATCATCTTCTTGAATCTTCATATTCCCCATCTTTCCCCAATCAAATCAGCTAAACTGATGAGTCATATTGATTACATTACTAATTACTGGAGCCATTGACTTGTTCACCCCACATTATAATCATCTCTGGGTCGCAGTACTGTCATTGCAGTCTGACCTGCCTTGCTGCATTCATTCTCACTGTACTGCATTCATTCATTTAAGAGTTAGATCTGCATCATCTTATTGTTTAAACCTCACTAAAACTATTACCATAAAAGTTCATCTAAGGCCTTCCCTTATCTGACCCCTGCCTCTGTCTCCAGCCTCTTTCTTGATTCTGTGCTGATGCATCCTTGTCTTTTCTGCCAAGCTTTTCTTAGGTCCTCCTTAGACTCTGTTTATACCATGCAGAATATCCTCTCTTTTTTGAGGATATCTTGTGAGCCAAATATCCCTTTATAGCATCTAATGCAAGGGCCTATCACTGTTTCTGTTACAATGTACTCATGTTTTCCCTCCCGGTTAATATCTACCCCACAAGCTTGCATTAGTTCAAAGTCAGTGTCCACATGTGCTTTCATTATGGAACATGTGCTTTTTATTAGCCCAATTCTAGCACAGTGTTTTGAATCTTAACAAAATAACTTTGTGTACTAGACTTTATTTCCACCACTAAACAATCTAACAGTGTTCTTTTTAGATCATATAAAAGTTTTAGTTCCTTTTGTCAGTTAAAAGGATAGAATTTTTCTTTCAAATAAAATCTCATTAGAATTGCAATACATAAAACAAATAAAAGTGTGCCTTATCTTGTTGTGGTGGCCATTGTTTGTGCAGACTTTATTCTTTGGTTTACACTTGGAGAGTCTGGTAATCTCTCAGCTCACATATGGTCATGTATCAGCAGCAGATACATCACCATGTTTATTTGAAAGGTCACATGTCCAGGCTCATTGCAGACATCTGCATATCAACATCTCCAAATAATTCCTCCACACATTAGACCTTATAATCACAGAATGTGGATGCAAAGGAACCATGATTTGTGCTAACTTGTTGTCTAAAGGTGCCTTGCTCTCTGAATCTTTGATAGAACCCTGTTATAGACTGCTTAAAAAATGATGTTCGGTTACACTGACCATCAGCTACTGGGAATGAGCTGTTTCTGGGCTGTATGTCACCTTTATTATAGTTTCCTTGTCCCAGGGAGGGCATTGGTCATTTGCTGACTATGTTAATGTGAAGGCAGACACTTAACAGTTAACTAATTTCCCAAATTACATTAAAATAATAGGCTAAGAGTTACCATAGTGTTTGCTGTGGACCTAGCCGTTTTTACTGATTCAGTTTGGAGAAATCACAGAGAATGTTATGGATTGATGTGTCACTGATGTATTTTAAAAGCAAGTCAAAATGAAATATCATTCACTTTTTTTATAGTTACAGTATCTGAATCTTGGATTCCACAAAATGATCTGTTTACATTGAAAGTTTCTAAGCAAATCTAATTATGATAATCCAAATACTTTAAATCTCTTCACTATTGAAAACTTTCCAATAATTAGACACAGAATGTTCACTGAAAGTATATGAGCTCAGCCAAGCATACTGTATAAAAACACTACTAACAGATTCAGAACACCTGAGCTCACTTACGTGGGGTAGAAGATTTGAAAGCAATGAAGTCTTTCTCCACGTGGGCCTTTGTTATGCACCTATTCCATTCACAGCTCAGCACACGCTCCTCATCTGTATCAGCAGTGGCTATCCCTTTCCTTGTGGATATCCAAACAATTCCATTATGTCCTAGGAGAGAATGTACTTCTTAAACAAATGTAATACATGCATGCATGCGTGCACACACACACTCCACAGAGATAAAGTATATTTGGCACATTACATGATGATTTTATTGAAAATATGAATATCTATGTGCACATGTTGTGTGTGGGGGGATACATGTACTTATGTGAGTGCAAGTTATCCATGTCAATGTGTACACTCAGAGGCCAAAAAGAATGATGTCAATTATTTTGTTTTACCACTCTTCAACTTATTCTCTTGGCAGTGTTTTTCACTGAACCTGGCGCTAACCTGGTAGCTAACGAGCATCAGTCATCTGCCTCTCTCTACCTTCTATGGTCCTCGGGTTATGTGAATACATGCTATGCCTTGCTTTTCACGTGGTTCTTAGGATTGATTCTTGCAGAGTGAGCATTCTTACTCACTGAGCCATCTCCTCAGCCCCCAAAATATCTTACTATTAGAGAAACTCCCACTGACCAAGAACAATACAATACCCATCATGCCTAGAACAATAATGTTGACAAATGACTGGGACATTTCTTATTCTAGGCTACTTGTTATCCCATTGAAACATAGGATATAAGATAGTTTTTTTGTACTGAACACACCATCAACACTAAAATGTTCCCCTTATTTATCTTCTAGAACATGCCAGACTCATAGAAGAAAGTTCAGAACCACACCCCAGAGCCCAACTCAGACTCACTGCCCCTGCAAGCCTGCATGATGAGGATCTTGGGTTTGTTTCTCAGACTCCTGCAGTTGGAGTTGTTGAAAATTGTGAAGATGGTGTCATCATGAAGAACGTCCGGTTCTCTGTTTCTGTGCTTCACCCCACAGATTCCTTCCAGGATGCCATGGGACATGAACACCAGGAACGTGCTGTCAGAGGACTGGTGCTCCGGACGGCCAGCAAACTGCCGTAGTTCTGTCTCCATCTCCTGAAAAGACTCTAGAGTCATTCTCAAATATATTCCTCACATGGAGCTTGTATCCAGATAACAGAGGAAGTTCACAAAAAATAAATAACTCCTAGGATTGAGTGGTTTGTGCCGTGTAGGGTTGTAAAAGAAATAAAAATATATGCATAAGATGTGAAAATTAGTGAAATTTCTTATTTTAGATAGTTTATAGCCCTATGGAATTAAAAAGGATCTTGGGTTTCTAAAGACTCTAAGAGATGGAATATAATCAAAGTCAACTCTATTGCAATTAGGTTTTGGGAATTCTCATTTAAAGGAGAGGCAGACATAAAAGCTTATGTTGATAAAAATTGAAAATATGAAGTTCCTTGATACCAAACAATAATCAAGTGTTTCATTCTTTAACTAAATTCACCCTGATTGCTTTAGACAGAACTGAATCCACAAGAGTTTTTTTAACTCTCAATAATTAGACATTTTGTTCTGACATTGTTAAAGTCATATGTGTTTATTCTTGCCTCCCTCAGACCAACAGGAAATAGAGACACTTAGACTGGCACTTAAGAAAGACCCCCTGTCTTGCTGAAATAATATTGCACAGGCATTATGTGAATATTCTCTGAGACTATGCTTTAGAAACAGTAGAAACCGAGGAAATCCTATCCTGGAGCAGATCTAATTCCTGTACTCTGACATATTTGTTCTTGTTGCTACTAAAAGCGAGGCTGAAAATAGCTCAGGGAAGGTTGATCTGCTCCATGCTCACAGCTTACCTGAGCTGTAAGGTTCTCCTTTAGCACCACTGAGTATCCAAGGTTTTGAAGTAGCTCTTGCATGTTCAAAATATCAACCTCAGCATCATCTCGATCAAAGAGGTAGTCAAACTTTTTGTTGCAGATGATGAGAGCCAAGCGTGTTCGACCTTCCTTCTCCATCACTGGATATATCTGAGGTTAACAGACATAGAGTGATTTGACCAAGGGCCCTCCTCATGCCTCCAAAATCTAAACAAAGCTGACAAAAAATAATTATAGTGAACAGAATGTTGCTGGTGGAGTTATGTTTGGTTGATGAAATGGTAAGATTTGAGACTGAAAACATATTTGGGGCCAGTGTATGTTATTAATTTTGGCTAGTGACATGGCTTGGATTACGTGGTGGCATGGATTTCAGGACATATTCTAAGATGAGATTTAAAAATGGGAAATATAAGTTGAATATCACTTGATGAAGTGCAATGTCCTTCATCTGATCTGTAGGGATCCATTATAAGAAATAGAAAAAGTACACATGGTCTAACTGGGGTAACTCCAGTCCCCTGCTTCCGAAGCTCATCACCTCTTTTGCCCTTTCTGTCTTCATCTTATAGAATTGATCTCGAGGACAAAGTTGCAGTGTATCATGGGCTTCTGTGCTCTGGATTTCCTGAGGAGCTAAAAGAGAAAACAGAACCAAAGAATTGACATGGCCCCCAGCCAGGCACACGTGCTGGCCACATGTTCATTGCTCTGAAGTGTTCCACTGCTGTTCCTCAGAAAGCTGTGCTGAAAGGAGGACTTTCTCATACAAGCTAGACACAGTCCATGCGTCTCTCTACTGCCTGGGGGTCTGGGGGTAGAACGCTCAGCTTCCATGTCTGCCTGTGTGCCATGGTGCTTCCCATAATAGGCTAAACCTCTGACACTGTAAGCAACAACCATTCAGTGCTCTCCTTTTTAAGAACTGCTCTTGTTATGCTGTCTCTTCGCAGCAGTAGAACACTGATTAAGACAATGACAAACTATCACAGTATTTCGGAGGACTTGATGCTCATATAAGCACTTTTTGTACATTGCAAATATTTTGTTGTCATTTCACTCTTCTGTGAAGTTTGGAATTCATGCAATGAAAGTTCATGTGCATTAAATCAACTTTTAAATTAAAAAAAAAGACTGAAACCAAAGTCTTGACTTTTCCTCCTTTTTATTTATGTTTATCACTGACCCTGCCAATTTTGTATTTTTCTAGTATTTACGACTTTGGTTAGACTTTCAGATTCAACATATTGGAATCACATGAACTCAGGGATCTAATCTTTGTAAGGAACTTTAGTTTCATTTAGTTTATTTATATTAGAAGCTGATATTTCGATTTTATACCCTTTTACTACCCTTCGGACCATACCAGTGACAGGAAGCCTATGTCAGTCTAAGATATTCTTTAAAATTCATAAAATTCTATGCACCCTCACATCCAGACCATGTGGACAACATTTCATTCCTTTTCCTATAAAAAATTACATGAATTCTTCCATGTTTTTATGCTTATTGCTTGTACACTTAAAAACAGAACAAAAGCTTTATCTTTGTATTCCCAGAATCTGGCATTAGACAAAGGAAAAAGTACTTCATTGCCAATCACTTGATTTCTTCAATTTCTTTAAAATATTTGCTCTTATTTCTTAGATTTCCCAAAGGGTAATGAGTCTTCTGGTCTCTACATGCAAGAAATCATCCATTTACCTGTGTGTCTATCTATCTGCGTGTTTTCTCTCATACTGCAAGAGAAGGTACATCCTTTCTAAGGACACTGTCTCTCTTTATGACTTGAATTCCACACCTTTTTACTCACCTACAAGAATTTTACTGGAGTATTTATTCAGCATTTTGTGCTTTCCTCTCTTCCTCCTTTCCCCTCTCTCTTCTTGCTCTTTCATAATGTGTTTGACTCTACCAACAAATGTTAATTTTAACACAGAGAGGGATATAAAAGGGGAGGTGAAAGTATGAAAGGGATTGAATATATTCAAAGATATTAAAATAGAACACAAAATAAAAGACAGAAAGGTGTGGGAGAGGAAGGAAGTGTCACTGTGGAATAGAATGGAAGGGAAGGACAGGGAAGAGAGAACAAGTGGAAGGTGAGACTTGGAAGACTGAGAGTTCTCTTCAAAGCTTTAGCTGGAGTCATCCTTTTTACGTTTTAGCAGGAAGGCAGAATCAAATTCTCAGTCAGAGAAATCTATTCATTATCTCTTATTTTCTGTTTTGTTTGTTTTTTTCTGATTCATGATATGCAAGCTGAGATGTAACAAACAGCTTACACACAAAGCATTTGTTAATACACATACTTGAAATGCATTTCAGTGATGGGTGTCAGCTTTCAGAGGTGACTGGAATAAGCAGTGGGTCTATAGTTTGACTGAATTTTCAGGGAATGACAACTCTTAATGAAAGCAGTTTTGTGAGAAACACCACAGACATAGACACACACACACACACACACACACACACACACACACACACGCACGCACACACGCACACACGCACACTCGCGCGCGCGCACACATGCACACGTCTGTCACAATAGACTCCTTTTCCACTGATAACAGTCTCTAGGCAGTACATCTCTGACTCTGAACTTACAGCTTTACTTATTTCACTCTTAGTTTCCTACTTCACAGTCAGATTATAGCCTTCCATATGGGCGTATGACATCCAAGTTCATTCCTGTCTTGGGGCTTCCTGTTTTGCTCGACAGCTTTGCACAATTCCCTTTACACATTTAAGTTATATACTAGCATATCTTCTCAGTGAGGGTGGACTTGGCTAAACATCTGAGTGCATATACTTCTTACATGATTATTGTATATCAGCACTCACTAAATTATAAATTCCCTGGTAAGGGAATCATGATCTTGACCTATTTTTCTTATAGTTATGCAAACCAAATGTTGACAACAGCAATTTGATATTTCATTTAATGTAAGACATAAGCATACAAACATAAAAAAACCACAAAGGTTTTATTCCTTAGTTTGTTAAGAACTTCTGAAAATAAATCATTCACACAGCACTATCACTCCTCCTTCTAGACAATTCCTTAATAAACACCATCAGATGTTCATCAGTTTGGTGAACACAAGGAATGTGTGACTCATACCATATCAGGTAATTATATATATATATATATATATATATATATATATATATATATATATATATATTATCTATAAATTTTAAAACACAGTGTACTCACATGCTTAACCATATCTTATTTGTGCTAGTATTTTCTGAAATCTTTAGTGTTTTATAAATGTAAAGTTATTATTAACATCATTTTAAAATATGGGCTATCAGGACACATGTTAGTGATAGTGATGGCCTTGCTGTATGACCTTCTTGGCTGTGATCCTAGTCCTGTAACCAATAAAGACTTTTCAAATCCACTTTATCACAAGTAGCATCTGCATGTATCTTGGGATTGACATTACCTGTTAGTATTGGATGTGATGAAGGGGCCACTCCAACATCGTCCTCCATTTCTTCATCTTCTTTTTCTTTTCTGAATTCTGAAGAGAAGTAGAGAACAAGTATTTGAGAGACTTTCTAGTGGCAGAGTTGGAGAAAAACCCAAACTTTCCAACTCTCAAGGAAATGGTCTCTGCTATAGAGCAGGGAGTCTGTGACCCCCACCCCCCAGTGATAAAACCCCTTGAAACAAAGGGTTTGGGGCTGTTACCTGTCAGAGAGAAAGTGGATATCTGCTCTGATAAAGTTTGTTTATCATCTTTTCTGTCTTTAATTCCATTTTCAGAGTCTGGAGAAAAAAGGAGTATCAGTGCTCTGTTCCAAAGACATTTTCATGTTTATGTATGTTTTTTTGTTGTTTTGTTTAAGTTCCATATGGTTTATACAATGCATTTTGACCATGCTCATCTACCACTACTGTGAGTTCAAAATAGGAAAATATACTTTGCAGATTAAGAGTTCTATTTGCAGTTAATGTAGCTAAAGAGTAAGTTAAGGTTTCAATTTGTAATTAGGAATAAGTTCCTGTTTTTTAGATCTGATGTAAGCTGCAAAAGATGTTTCCCAACCCACACTAAACTTGTGACTCCATTCACATGATGTATATCCTTACCCGTGTTCCTTCCCTTCCATTGCATCTTTCTAACAAAATATAACAAAATGTAACAACTAACTACAAAAAGGACCTCAAGAGACCAACAGGGGATGCGCTCTTAAATCTCGATAGGGTGAGAAAGCCACTGGCCAGTCCTGGGTACACCTCAAACTAGAGCTTGCTTTAACTGGACAGTCGTGGATTCGGTCTTTCCTTGCCCCGATTTCCAGGATTAATCTCCTTTTCACCACTGCTTATTTCCCCATTCCTTACTCATCCAGAGTCACTTCCTCCTTTTACTTTTTTCTTGTGTTATTATTAACCCAAGTCAAAATAACGTTCCCGAGTTGCTCCTGCGTGTATGACCACCCACTACATCTGAGCGACCAGTGGCCATGTCCCTAGCGTCAAGTGACTCTCCCTCTCTCAGCAGCTATCTATTGTTGTCATTTCTAAGAATGACAATGTACAAGGCCACAGTTCCATGGGTTGTTACTGGAACGTGAAAACTGACATCAATTGGTCTATGTGTTTCTCTGGGGCATGGAGGCAGTTACCTGCTGGAGAAGATGCTGTAGGTATTTTCTGAGATTCATCATCCTCATCATCAGAATGAAATTCTGAAACAATAAGAACGCAGATTTTGGAGGGAGGTGACTAAATTCCTAGGCCCTCTCAAACACTGGTAAGTAAACCACCATGTTATTCTGTTTCTCTCTGAAACATGGAGGTTCTGTCTGTTCTCCAAGCTTCATATTTGTTTACAAACACTCTAGCCTCTTCCAAATTAAAATGAAAAAAATGAGGCATATCCCTATGAAGCAAGATTTTTTTCTCTACTGTGATTATTATATAAACAAAGATTTAGTCAAAATCTGTAACCACAGTTTCTTAGAATTTATTTTTCTAAGAAAAAAATACTTGACTGTATTAAAGATAGACTTTATACAACAAAAATAACACAGAAGAAAAAGTCAAGAATTTAAATATACATTTTCTCTATCACTTGCTGGGGTAGGATCTGTGGCCCTGCAGACCAAATACCACTAGCTACCCTGTGTTAAGTATTTAATGGAGCACATAAACACCCCACTGCCCTTCGGTAATTGATGCTGTCCTGCCAAAACAGAAAACCTGAGATGTGAAGGAGACAACTACACACACAAAATTTATAATTTTTTTGTTTATTGTTTTTAAAGATAAATTAATGTTCCACTAACCTTCAAATTCAGGTTTTTTTGTTTTGTTTTTTTTTTCCCAGTAGAAATTAAGGTGAAAATTTCTTCTCTGGAATTAAGCCAGAGATAAGAGAAAAAGAGTGTTAACTTCTCCCCTCCCCCATTCAACAGTCTATATCCAAGAATAAGTCTACATCTCTATATGTGACCAGAAGCTTAGAACACTATAAACACTATCACTGAATTCAACCTAACAATACTTTCTGAGCACCTGTCATCTGTCAGATGTTGTTCTTATATAATCAATATATATTCATGAATAAAGCAGCCAAAGAGACCTGCCTTATTAAGACCATGTTTTCCATAGTGAAACAAAGTAAAGGAAGGAATATGTAAATTTCATGGGGGTAATTAATGGTATAACTGTCCAACCAAAAGCAAAATATGTAGGAATAGAAAAGCAGTTGGGGTGAATTGGGACCTTTTTAATCTGTTAAACAAATAGACAAGCAACAGTCTGGGGGATGTGGGTAAGTTAGATTTCCCTTGAAAAGAGGAGAAATAAAGATAGAAGGCTCCTGGGCAGTAAAAACAGAATGAGTCGATGGCATTTTGGCCAGAACTACTCACTTAGTCTCAGCTGCTTCCTGGAGTTGACAATGTGGCCTGCAAATATTTTGCCTACCATTTCTGTTTTCTCAAAGATGTTCTCAGCCAGGTTCTCAGCATTGTTCAGAAGGAAGCGCGCACCTTCCCCTATTCTGAGTAACTCATCTCCATTTAACACGTTCTTCTCCACCAAGTCATCAAAAACCCCATCCAACACATTCTTAGCCAAACCCTTGATCTTGTAGATTGGATCTCTTTCATGTGTCCTCTTGCCTGTGAAAATTATAGCATTTAGGCATGAAGAGAAATTTAGATATCTGTTCCTACACTAGGAGCTTTCAGATTTTAATGTACATAAGAATCATCTACATAGCCAAATAAACAGTACTCCCTGACTGGAATTCTTGGAATTCTGCTTGGAAATCAGGATGAGACCCGTGTGTGTGTGTGTGTGTGTGTGTGTGTGTGTGTGTGTGTGTGTGTGTGTGTGTGCTTGTTTCTTCTATTTTTTGAGATCGACTTGAGTGACTTGTCTAGAAAGCACACAAACATGTATTTTGTCTAACACTCTTCAAGTTTATACAGGAGGAAACTGAGGTTGAGAGAAGAGTAACAACTCCATTAAGCAATTTAGCAGTAGATATCTGACATTTCTGTGTATCACTCATGATCCTTCCACTTTTGCTCATGATTGTTAATAACTTTGAAAGACATTACATTGCGTATAGGGCATAGTGAACTGTGAACACTTTACAGCTATACTGTCATTCACTCTATTTATATTGCCAGGGCTGGTAGGCTTCTCTGTGTGGAGATGAAGAAATCAAGCTAGCTGGCTTGCTTGCTGCTGAGAGCAGTTCAGACGCCTAGTAGAATGATGGAGGACATGCAAGTTGTTCAATAGTACAGCTTCTCACCCTCACAACAGAACACTCACATAGTTGGAGAGAGCCTCAAGTCAGTGAATCAAAAGGCAAGCCTTAAACCACAAGAAAATACTGAAATGATGGGTCTGAATTGGTTACATTTTCCTTTCTTTCCAGCAGTTGTAAAGTACTAAGTTGGAGGCTTTCAGTGTTTGCATGCTCCCTCTGTAACCTGTGCTGCCATAGCCCCTTCACTCCCAGACTAAAACAACTCTGTTCCTACAAAGTCTCGCCACATCGTTATTTTTCCTCTCTGACACCCATATGTAGCTTCCTTAACAGAATCATAAACAAAGAAAGGACTCACCCGCCATGGCTGTGCAGGCTTCCTGGTCGTAAAAAGCAACGAAATCGAAAGCAAGCTTAGAAACAGTCTGCATTTCCTTTCCAGAAACATACCGATGAAGCTGTCTCAGTGCGGGAGTGGGGAGGGGTGGGGGGGGGGTGGGGGGGGTGGGGGTAGGGGAGAATGCCTTTCCTTTCCAGAAACACTGATGATGCTGTCTCACTGGGAGATTCCAGCTTGGCAAATTCTCTTGCTCTTTATCCAGAAGGTCAACCAGGAATCTGCTTTGATATGCAAGGCTTCTCCTTGACACAATGTTTTCTGACTAAAAATGTATATTCACACACAAATACATTCTGAGTCCAGTCTGTTTTTTAGCATTGTTTCAAAGTGCAATGTGACTTCTGTTTTTCTCAGTGTCACCATGGGCCTTTCCATAGATAAGAGACCACACAACAGTGGCACTTGCTCAACAAAGAATGTGCCAGTCTAGAAGGCTTCAGAGGAAAGAGATGCTGAGATCTGTCAAACCTTGATGTGGCTACCACCAATTCAAGTAATCTTGTTTCTTCTCTCTGAGTCAGCATCTTTATTTGTCAATTTTGGATATTATTTATCTGGAGATAAAAGTGCACATCTTTGTTTGTAAAATGCACAAGAGAGTCTTTCACTGTAACTTTCAAAAATTTATGGATAAATGATGGCAGTAAAAGTTAAATAACTGAAATATTTATAAAATGGAAAAGAATGCTACACTGCTGCTTTATTTTCATGATACTGAGGGCTACACGTTAGCTGCCTTCCTTGTGAATTTTTTTCCGTTCTTTATAAAATACTTAATACAATTTCAATGCTGTTCACTCTTTACACCAGCCACCTTATAGTAGCCTTCCTTGCCTTACTGACCTCAGGAGTTAATTGGTATGGCAAACACATCACCTCCAAAGAATCATGTGCAGTTCTAGGCCCTGTCTTCACAAAGCCTTGTGCACTTTTCCAACTTGGACACCTGAGCACCCATGTAGATTACCTGGTGCTTCTGAGAGAGAAAGAGAGAGAGAGAGAGAGAGAGAGAGAGAGAGAGAGAGAGAGAGAGAGAGAGAGAGAGAGAGAGAGCTTGTCCATTTCTTGGCAGACCAGGAAGCAGAGAAAAGGGAAGACAAACACTCAGTTGGAATTCTCCTTTTCTCCTTTTTAACTACTTTAGGACCTCTGAACAAAAGGAACCACATTCAAGCCAGCTCTCCTCCCTGTCCCACAGTCAATCCTCTCCAGAAACTCCCTCACAATCTTCCCTGCCTCAAGGACAGCACAAGCCTCTCTTAATCCAATCAAAATGAGATTTGAAAAGCTACCACAGTGTCATGTCATACAATCATATCAGAAATCAATTAACTTGCTTTTTAAAACTTCATAGTGAATAACATATATTCTGCTAAGTAAAGAATTACCAAGTTTAGTAGATTATAACTTCAAAATGTTTGTCAAATTATTACATTCAAAATTCAAAGAATAACATAGTACAGAAAAGCTTAGAATGAAAATCAGAGTCTCCAATTTGCCTTACTTCTGTATTTTAGATACAACTTCCCTAAGCTTTTTCTGTTTTTTGAATGGTGTAATCATTTCTTAAATTATTTTGTTTGACAGTTTCACACAGGATGAATTATAGCTATTTTCACCCCCTATTTCCCATACTTATCCCCTTCCTCTCCTGCTGCAGTCTTTCTCAGCAAGTCCCCTCCTGTCATGTCCCCTTTCTATGAGTGTCCCATTGGGCTTATTAAATTTTCTTTACTGATCACAGATGGGAGGTTATTTAATGGAACCTTAGCAGTGGTTACACCACTGAAGAATTTGATAACCCCCTCTTTAAAGAACTCTCAGCTGCCAATAGTCCTTCAGGGAGGGCCTCTCCTCTACCCATGACAAAATGTTGATGGTTCCAATCATGAGCTTGAAATAGCTACAGTCTCAGTGAGTTTACATAAGACAGCCAAGGCTGAAGTGAGCTCATGAGTAGGGGTGGTTGTCTGTGCATTACCCGGAAGCACAGCCCCCAGTGAGGCAGCAAGCAGCTGCTAGGTACCTGTCCCCCTGAGGTGTGGCCGGACGAGGACCCCCTGAAGACCTTGGATACATGTACATGCTTGCTCTTCTCTTTGTTACCTCGTGGTCTTGGATGCTGGTGCTGTGGATCAAGGCAGAGCTCTCCTGAGAACCAAGTTGGACCGTGCCCCACCCCTCTAGGATTCTGAGATTTTCTCCTTTACTCTTGTTGTGAATTAACCGCCCCCCAATAAATTCTTATAATCTTTAAGCTATCTCGGTGGATTGGTAGCGATTTAATCACAATATTCATGTAAGATAGTGAGTTCATGTAAGATAGCCACAACCTCGGTGAGTTCACATAAGGTAGACAAGGCTAAAGTGAGTTCATATAATATAGCCACAACTGCATGTGAATTCATGTAAGATAAGTCATACTACATTGAGTTCATGTAAGATAGTCACAACCTCAGTGAGTTCATACTAGGTAGCAGCAGCCATGTAGCAGGGTTTTTTTTTTTATGACCAGAAGACATCATTTTGCTGCATATCTATCCATTTTCTTAATACTTGAGCATGTCTATTTTATATATTTCCTGTCATTGAATACTTCCTGTTGCCAATGTCATGGCTTTCAATTATTTCCTACACCATGTGGTATGAATTATTAGTTAACTTTTTGAGACAAGGTTCATAGCCCCAGTGTGGTGGTTTGAAGGAAAATGGGCTCCAAAGGAAGTGCACTATTAGGAAGTGTGTCCTTGTTGGAGGAAGTGTGTTACTGTGAGAATGAGCTTTGAGGTCTCCTGTGCTTAAGGGTTGCAGTGTCACAGTTTACTACTTGTTGCTTGCAGATCAAGATGTAGAACTCTCAGCTCCTTCTTCAGCACCATGTCTGCTTGCAAGCCTTCACATCCCACCATAGTGATAATGGACTAAACCTCTGAAACTATAAACCATCCCAATTAAATGTCCTTTATAAATGTTGCCATGGTCATGGCATCTCTTCACAGCAATAGAAACACTAACTAAGACACACAGGATGGTAGCAAACCCTTGATACTTCTGACTCAGCCTCGTGAGTGCTGAGACTGGAGGCTTGGACCATTACAGTAATTTGAAAAGCACATTGAACCCCCATTTTCATTTCATCAGTGTTAGTAAGTGGCTTCTCTCTCTTCTGTGTAAGTTAACTGAGCTCCATTCTCCATTTTCTCTCTAGTAGTACTTTGTTTTGATATTAATTTTTTTTATTTTGGCAAAATGTAAATAATCTAAAACTTACCATCTTGATCACCTTTCAATTTGTAATCAGTAACACACACATAATTATATACATGTATTTTATCTTTAGGTAAAGTGTTTTTTGTTTTGTTCCTGTGACAAAAATCTCACTATACTTCTCAGATTTGTCTTGAATTCACAATCATCTCTTCCTCAGCTTCCCTAGTTTTGGGATTATAGGTATAGAACACAATCCTTAATCAAAATCCTTGATCCTTGGTCAGGCTGATGAAATGAGCTTCAGTTGCTTGTTGTTTCTGCAGAGGAGACAAAGAATAGATGGTGAGCATGTTCATTCCATAAAGAATCCATCCCTTCACTCATCATTCATTGCCAACCATATTCTTGCTATACCTGACATCCACCTGGATTCTCTGTAGTTTATGCAGGAGAGGAAAAGATGCATCATAAGACAAAAATGAATATAAACACTAATAACATATGAACATAATTCAATAATTGTCAAACTATGCCTTCCACAGTTTATTATTGCTTTTTGGGTTTACCTTGGTTTTTCTTATAGCTGTTATCATTTGCTTTATCTTTTTGAGGTGATGAATTAAATCTAAATGTGTGGAAGTAGAATAAAAACTTGACAGTAGAACCATCTCCTGTGACCAGCAAGACTTCAAATGGAAGGAGTGGGAAACCAACCCAGCCACATAATCTTCAACCTACAGTCTGTCCTGCCTATGGCATATGCTGGGGTAAGGATGATCTAGAGATTGAGAGAGTGGCCAAACAGTGACTGGTCTAGCCTAAAACCCTTGTGAGTTGAGTGAGCCCACCCCTGACATTGCCTGGAGCACCAGGACCCACATACTGGATGACCCAGAGACTTAGGATAGAGACAAACACCACTGGAGGAAAAACAATGTCAATGTAATGATGCCTGATAATATTCCACTATACTCATAGATTGGTGCCTAGCCCACTTTTCATCAGAGAGGCTTCATCCAGCAACTGATGGAATTAGATGCAGACCCACAGCCAGACATTAGGCAGAGTTTGAGAAATCCTGCAGAAGATGGGGAGAAAGGACTATAAGAGCCAAAGGGGTCAAGGACACCACAAAAAACTCACAGAATCAAGTAACCTTGGCTCACAGAGACTGAACTGACAACCAGGGAGCCTGCATGGGACAGACCTAGGCATTTTGCATATATGTTAGACTTGTGTAGCTTGGTCCTCTTGTGGGACTCCTAACAGTGGTAACAGGAACTGTTTCCAACTATTTTACTGGCTTTTGGGACCCTACTTCTCATACTAGGTTGCCTTGTCCAGCCTCAATAAACAGGTATGTGCTTAGTCTTACTGCAAATCAATATGCCATATTTTGTTGATATTCTTAGGAGACCTGCCCTTTCCTAAACAGAAACAGAAGAGGGGTGGATTAAGGGATGGGAAGAGTTGGGGAGGGACTGAGAGGAGAGGAGGGAAGGGAAACTGTAGCTGGGATGTAAAACAACAACAACAAATATGCCAAAAGTGAATGAACTCTGCCACCCAAAAAGATCAACTTGACCATCTAAGTAGTCAGGTCTCTAATGAGAAATCTACTTACTCTTCTCAGTTACCAGGAAATAGGTATCTTTTCAGGGCTGCCCAGTCAGTGGTAGGTATCTGGAAACTAATGCTTGATTGTTGCACTTAAAGCCAAAAATAAGCTGTGGACTATATAACCTTCAAAATTCATAGAAAACATGCTTCATTTCAAGTGCAGAAACCTACAGAGATGACAGAGGATTCAGAAGTTGTTGGGATGAAGCTAATGAATACTCTAACTTATTATTTCCATCCCACCCCATGTAAAA